TCGTCGCTGTAAATTCGTTTTTCTCAATTCTTGATGGCGAATATTACATTAACGCGTTCACCGCCACTTCCATTTATTCCAACACTTACGGACGGTTTTTGTAAATATACTGCGTGTGTCACGCGAAAGATTTTTTATGATACACGACGATATGATACAATTGGCGCGATCACGTTGGCAAAGTTTGAAACTGAAATCCGGAAATTCGTATAGAAGATGGAAAATATTTATTGCAGAAACGTATACTTTGGGAAAATCAGAAAATTATTTGAGCAGTTGGTCGTCCATCGTGACTCGTAAATGTATTCTCAGATCGCTTTCAAACTTTACCAGTGGTATTCAGTCAGCTATACTCGCAAACAGTTAACGTTTGGACTTAGAACAGTTAGGACATTGTACAGTTAGAAAAAGAAGAAAAGAGAATATGCTTTTCTCTACTGTAGTATATCTTGGGCTTAATTTTAAACGTGTGATCATTCTTCTTTTATCACATCTTGTCGATGATTCAAAATGGTTTCAGCCTGTTTGTTTTGGATCGGTTCAAATACGAACAGAATAGATACTATGATTTATTTCTGATATACGCGAGTTGCTCGAAATAATTTGAGGGTCGTTCGTAAATAGATTATCCAACACTCTCGATACTATGCTATGCAAATGCTCTGTAAAGTTCATACAAACTGAAATACATGTAGCCTGGTTTTTATCTATGTACTTTATAGTAAAACTTATTTCGCCATTCCCTGTTGAAAGCTGACGAAACAACGTGAATTTTACATCGTTTTACGTCGATCGTGTATCCCTGTTTCAAAGATCTATCTCTTATTGTTTATAATAGATTTTAAAGGGATCTATTTTGAGTGGACATATTTCTCTAACGAAATTCGACGACGTACTTCTCTGCGTTACGAATTATTCATGTCGTCTAGATCACGTATCGTCACGAATTCCTTGGCAGAGTGGCTGATAAGAAACGAGGGCTCAGACACGAGCCAATCCGCTGTTTATCAGCTCGTTATCAGGGCCGCGTCAACTTATGAATGGGCGGAATGATGCCAGTTCGTACGATTTCGGGCTCCTTCATGACCACCCGAGTTTTTCGTAAGATTTAATTACGAGCACGAGAAACGTATGGACCATTCACTTGGTGGAATTTCTTATGAACTGTTTTTCAAGTGCGTGTATTATCTCGGAAATTTGGAATGGCTTGATATCAGGGCAAATCAAATACTCGAAAATGTCAAGTACTCGTAGCAAGATCAAAACAAATCTGTTTACTTCGGCATTACTTCTTAATGTGAAAAGGAAGAAGAAGGAGCCAAGGAGGAAGTTAAAGAGATGCAACCTAAATTGCATACTAAATTACGTTGTATTCACGAGAGAAACCAATAAGTATACGATTTACTCGAAGATGAACATTTTTAGTCGAACTAAAAGCCACCTGAATGTTTCCATTACCGTTTGATAAGGTCGTTCACTTTAGTTTCGTTTTTACTTTCGTAAAATCACCGTATTTTTGCTGTTTTATCTAGGCTCGTCGAAAAGAGAAATAATTTGAATATCGCGTTTTCCACTTTGTGACAAGCGATACATTTTTAAGAGAATTAGAAAGTCGTTAAAAAAATAAAGGATTAGAGATATTTTCCAGAAAACGATATCCAAACAAGGATAATAATCGTGGAATATTTTAGTGGTTGAAACAAAACCTCCCTAATATCTGGAACAAGAGTTGGCAGTCTGTAATTTTTCTTAGTATAATTTATAATTTATAATTACTTTACCGAATAGTTATGTATTTGCATATTACGTGTTCCTACGTATTTGTAAAATTTTCCTAAGCGAATAAATGTTTTGCTTAGATATTTGCATAAACGAGGTCAAACAAATTTAACACAACTCCAGAGTTGAAAAGTCGGTCGATATAGTCAGCAATATATATAGTTATATATATATAATTAACACTTGCAATTATCGCAATTTGTTTCAAAATGAATATCAGCCAATCCTCTCAATTAATCGTCTCGAGTTTATCGAAGTTCCCCGATACGATGAATTATTGGGTTTCAACAAAGAGAATGAAGTGGATAAATTAAGTACCATGAGAATAATTCGATAACGAACTCTGTTTCTTCTTGCGATCGGGTTCAAGTATTTTTATCGTCGTTTTATCTGTAGTAAATTTTCAGTTACTGTACTACTTCCTTTGAGACTTCCTTTTCCTCCGTGTAATTACGCTACCATGAAATTTCCCGGTCGAAGCTACTATCAAGCTATTTTCTTTCCTGTTTGTTACTTTTTTTTATCTGCATGAATGGCATTTAAAATTGTTGTGAAGCAAATGCCATCGCGTTGTTTTCAAATTTTGTTGGAAAGAATATTGCATACAAGAAGCGACTTCTCCAACTTTTCTTATTTAACAAAAACGGGCTTCTGTTTTCCAACGAATACGTTAATTACGAGATAATACGATAATTACGAGATCGTTTGATTTCTTTTTCCTTTGGTTTCTCAAATTTTTATTCAATGACGTTTCAAGAATTTTTCATACGATTACCCGCAATGACGAAAGGGAGATGTCTTTGAATTCTCCTCTTTATGAAACCTCTTGTAATTTTCTCTGCTTGTTTCTAGGAAATGATAGGAAACAGAATAATCTAATCAGCGTGACTCGATAGCAGATTATCCAATAATTCTACCGTCCATTAAGTCTAGCTTAATTCAGTGAAATGACACTTTACAAATTTCTGAACCTTATCAAACAAGATTTCACCCATATTCCAATTTGTTCGTTAAATTACAACAACTTGGATACTCATCGTTAGTTACGTCAAAGTACCAGGCTAATTACCATTCGAAGCAACCTGAATATTCCTAATAACCATATTAAAACGATCAATTTCTCTTCGCGATAACCAACCTCTCATCTTCATCTGTCCACAAAAGGAAGAGTGTAAAAATAAAAAAATAAAAAAAAAAAAAAGAGAAGTAAAAGAAGAAATGGAAACTTCAAAATGAGGCATCAACGTGTCGACCATTCCTCGTACAAACTTGACAAGATATAAATTCCAATTTCTGGGCTGGAAAGGAGTGGATATCTGATGAATATAGAAGCGGATCCTTGGTTTCACCGCAGAAAACTTGTTCCCAGACCTGACAGTGGAGCATAATTATACTCGTCACGTAAATAAAAATGAACCGTGCAATTACTGCGCAAACCACGCGAACTATGTTGCATATAGGAAAAAATCTCCTCCTTTGGAAATATTTGCATACAAGATACTGGAGTAACAAAAATGCTAAGTGCAGGCAAAAAGTTAATGTTCGGTATTCATCATCCAGTTAGGTACCACGTTATTATCACGCGCAAGTCGGCCTTTTACGTAATCTTCAGCAACTTGAAATCTTTTCACCAAAAAGCGCCGCTTACAACAGCTTTGAAGTTGTCGGTAAATTTATGCGAGTAGGAAGGTGTCAAAGTCCACATCTGTAACATTACGTTCGATATATTGCGCGAAGCGATTTCTTTCCGCACAATTTCTGATGATACAGAGAGTTCTCTGGAGGTTAGCGATCCCGCGAGTAAAAACGCGTTTGGCCATTCCAATCTTATGTTTTTTATCTTTTCTTCACCGGTGAGCTGAGAATTCCACGAAACCCCGACGAAACTAGTCTGGTTTCACGAAATTCTTTATTTTTTTACTCCTTTCTTTTTATCCTTTTTTTTTTCTTTTTTACATATTTTTCTTCCATTTCGTTCGGAAGTCAAGTTCAAAAGTTCCTTCATCAATGTGTCTGTTAGCTCGTGAGTCACTCAGCCTGTGAGTGAATCGGTACACCCATGTGGTTGCAATTTTTGCAGGGCAGCTCTGCTGTTAAGTCGAACACCGTCCGTGATTTATGCTCGTTACTTTATAAAGAACGTTATGCGATACGTTTATGGATATAACAGCGTGCGCGGATCGTGAGATCTTTCGGGCGTCTTATCGAGGGTGGAGGTTGTGGCTAAAAAGTACGAAAGAACAGAAAGTGGACGGCGAAGATTACGAGATGCTTTCACCGCTTATCGAGTTAAAATTTCGTGAATCCTACAACTCGCGTGACAAAACGGCATTCGCACGGTTATAAGCAGCGTCATGAATATGCAAGTCATTTTTCTCTTTCTTTTTCTCTTTCTTCCCTTTCTGTTCCTTTTTTCTCTGGTAACCCGTGAAAGCTGTTTATTAAAACAGCTGTGCCTTGTCCAGGTGTTCGCCACCTTTTTCTGCAACTTTGTTAGATTAAGTGCACCGGTGTAAGACGCTCCACGATCACCGGTAGGTCACTTTATCTACTGTCCTTAATTATTTCCAAATTTAATGATTTACATTTCCGTAACCAAAGCACCAAATGTGTACGATCTTGGCGTTCGCAAATTTGCCGATGACACGCGATTTTCTCGTGCGATTTTAATCATCGCGCTCCATGACTGTTACTGCAGGTACCGCATTCTATAATACAATTTAATGCCCCGTAAGCGAACCAACTTGTTCACGTTTTAAGCTTATACAAAATTTAGCGAAATCCTAAAACGTTTGTCAACGTCTTTGCCACATTATGCGGTCTTCGATCCAGGCAAATATTTGACACTTATTTTAGTAAGAATAACGATTAACTTGGAGAAATTTGAGAGGTTCAATTTTTAAGTTTTTTCAAAGTTCTAGTAAACTTTATGATACGAATATTAAAATGCAAAACCGGGCCATACGATAATAAGGAAATGTAAGAAACCCCAAATTCTGAATCTAGAGAAACCTTTCTAACGATGCGTAAACACGTCACAGTGCTACGAGTAAAAGTTGTGTGAAACTTCTTAAAGGGTTATGTGGTCGGCTAGTCTCGTTAGTTTCTGCCGACGACTACTGCGACAATCCGCTAAACAACGTTTAGGAATAATCATCAGGAATTGCCTGAATCGGACATGAATCCGACTAGTCACAATTGTGCCGTTCGATTGCTTGCAGGCGTCGCACTGGTACAGCTATGAGGGGCGGAAAATTCTTCATCTTCAATAAGAAGCTTCTTTGAGCATCGCTTTGTCCAGGATTTGCACACTGGTTCTGGAGAAAGGCTTCGAAAACAACAAAGGGAAAAGAACAAGAAGAAACTAAACCATTCGATCGACTATATCCGAGTCCTAGCTATCTGCATCGAGTCGATCTTTTTTCTTAAAAATTCGCTTTTCTAATTGGAACTTGCAAGAAGAGCCCTAAGATCGATCTATAAAACCGTGGATCGAGGATCGCGATTTACTATCGGCCAGGAACGGAGCATGAAGCCGGAAGATCCGCAAACCAGGTCGTTGAGCAGTCATTAAACCAGCTGTGACCGCAGTTCATCGTGCTTGTTAATCATTTGCACAAGGTAGAAAGTCGAAATCGTCACGGAACTATAATATATTGCATAGCTGGAAACCTGAGTCACGATTCTTGGTAGAATGATATTTGCAAGTTTCGCGCGATCCTAACGATTCGTCCGAGAACGAGCAGAGGTGGGAAAAAGGTCTAACGAGAGAGCAACTAGCGATTCTGCTCGAGGCAAACGATCGTTCGAGTTCCTTGGATCTGGAAAAGGAGAAGCGAAACCGTGTTGTCTGTTGTTCGATCTTGTTCGAGGTCCATCGGCTGAGATCAAACTGTTTAGAATCGCTTGACACACAGAGAGGGCCTTTGTTCGACGATCGATCGATCTGGTAGAGGTGGGGAGGCGAAACACGTTAAAGGGTGGGGTAATTTGGGAAGATTTGACGATCGTCTTCTCGATAGTACAGTCTTGCCTGAGACAGGAAGATGAAGATGAGGTGGTTACTGGTGGTCGTGCTCCTTTCCACCACAACGCTGCTGTCCTGCTGCCAACCAAATAGTGTTCAGTACAGGACAAGCCTCGACGATGACAACGACGAGATTAGGAGCAGATACGAAGCGAATTACGCATATACAAACACCGAGAAGGCTATCCCTAGGCACGGACGTCGCGAGAGGAACCTGGACGATTCTGACGATCCGTTTTACGAGCGGATCGTTTCCTACAGAAGCAACAGGGCCATCGATGCTTCCAGGTATATACTCTTGAAAAGAGCTGATTGCTTGTTTGATCAAGGATTTTTCGTTGTTAATCGATCACGCCATTACTAGTGGGTCCTTAACCCACCTTTGGTTGAAGGGAATTGTTTTTGGATACCTGAGTTATGTAAAGCGTAATAATAATTCTTTGCAAAAAATTGAGAAGAAAACGTGAAAAGAGCTTTCTCGTAGGGTTGCTCGTTTGCAGAGAAATCGGAATTGAAATGTATGGAGAGCTGCGTGCAGGAGGCGTAGATACCATAATTTCAGAGCCGATTTGCGTGCCAACGAAGAATCCCAGAACAAAACTTTTTGCACGTTTTCTGCGCACTTTTTTGCGCTGAATAATCTCCCGTATCCCAAATCCCAATCCTATTTGTCTGTAATTTACGTTAACATTAATCTGTGTCTGTTGCGTCTAATCTATGTCTGTAATTTATACCGTAATTAATTTCTTCTGTCGCCTATCTGAAAACGCAGTGTTTTAAAACATCTAATCAAGCATAATTGATTCAAATTAATCCCCCTTGTCTTTTTAAAAAGTTACTATTCTCTAAGACGTATCGTTATTTGTCCAAAGCAGCAATACAATTTCCTAAGAAGAAGAATTTCTTCCCATATATAAAGAAACAAAATTTAAAGTATTGCACGTACATGGAAGGAAAAGAGAACTTGGACCTTCTTCGACTAACCCAAACACAGAACCTTCAATCCTGATTCGAACAAATCGCACCTCGCCGTACATTTTACGATACCCTCCAGCGATCTCGGCTAAATTCGTTGCCTAATGACGACAGGTCGACGGAAGCCAACGCAAAATTGACCCAGCAACCGGGCCAACTACCGAACCTCCCTAAATCGAACGCAAAACCAATCGACGTGGTTCACGAGAAGGGTCGACGAAGGGTCACAAACAAAAACGTGACGATTGGCGATGGAATTTGCCAGAGCATCGATATACGGAACAGCGCGTCTGGTTTCGGCATTATGAAGGATTGTCGCGTGATAGAGGGCTTTCTGCAGATCGTCCTCATCGAGAATAACTCCGAGACGGACTTTCAACCGATCACTTTTCCCAAACTTCGGGAAATCACTGGCTACCTGCTTCTCTATCGCGTGAATGGATTGAAGACTCTCAGCAATCTGTTCCCAAATCTCGAGGTGATCAGAGGCAACATCTTGCTGACCGATTACGCGTTCATGGTGTACGAGATGCAGAATCTACAGGAGGTAAGCGTTACGTAGGTACGATTTATAATTCTGCGCTGCGAAGTTTTTACTTCCGCGGTGTGAAAAAGTAAACGAGCGACGATCGAATAATAGCTCTGTTTGCGAAGCAAATATTGTCCAGCCGTATTGGTGAAAGAGAGAACGAAAGAGAGAAAGAGAGAGAGGGAGAGAAAGTTGGTTGACTCTGGAAAAAAGAGATGGTGCTAATAATTCGCGTGTTGTTTCTGAAAATAAATCAATATTCACACCGCTGGCAAATATTTGCACAGAGAAATATCATTTTTCCGCAGTTCGTTCTGTATTCTCTGTTTTTTATTCGATCGGTGTTCTTGTTCGAAAGCAACAGATAGATAATTAAAAAAGATATTCGATTAGTATTTAGTTGAATTTAATTTTAGCCTGCTAGTTTAAATTTTAGTTTCGTTTCAACATAAACCATGTATCTATGTTAGAGATGGAATCAATTTCACTATGTATTTATAATATGAATATATGTAAATGTAAAATAACTTTAGCCTCGAGAATCGTATAATAGTTTAATTATTTTAAAGTTTTGTTTTAAAGATCGTTTCTTCTCTTGAAATGACATTTTTTTTTGCAGACACTATGGCAGTGTATCCTTAAAACCTTCGCAACTTAATCATGTGCTAACTTATTTTCTTTATTCTGCAATTTATTTCTAATCACCTCGGCGTTACGAGCCACTGCCCGTTCTTTACAGAAGAAAGAAAATTTCCATTAAATAAACCAAGATATGTCTTGTCAATCGAGTAAAGTAAAGAATTTGAAATGCGAACCAGTTTGCAAATACAAGCCACTTTACAAACGTAAATTATTATTTTTTTTTTTTTTTTTTTACTTATTACGTACTTCAAAGCAATACATATCGGTAGTGTATCATAATCAGCGAAGAAAATTAGTAATTATGTTATAGTGGAACCGGTTAGAGGATCAATACGAAAAACACGAGTAGATGGACGTGCTCGGATCATTTCCCACGTTCCTGACAGAGAGGCTTCTCTCCAATTTGCTTTCTGGACGTAGCTAGTTGACTCGGCGGGTCAAGTGACGTTAATTAGTCAATCGAATTAACCAGTCGTTCGACCTCTGGCTAGCAGTTAGCTTTATCGGGGCTAAATCGACGCCTTGTGGCGGAATTCTTTCTTGCAGATCGGTTTGAAGAAACTTACCGAGATCTCACGGGGCAGCGTTCGGATCGAGAAGAATCCGGCGTTGTGTTACACCACCCTCGACTGGGACCTCATCGTTTCTGCTGGGGAGAATGTTATCAAGGACAATGGGGAGGAAGCCTCTTGCCCTGGTAGTTATCGACTTATTAGTCGATTAATATTATTATTCTTTCAATTGATGAAAATCTCTTTGAGTAGAATATCATGTTACGAACATGCTGTGTTAATAATTAAAGGGCTTATGATAAAAATAATTCGCGTTCGCGTTTTGTCTTATTTCGGAAAAGTGGAAGAATGTTCTAATATATTTAATTTTTGTTTAATACATTTACTTTTTTTTTTTAACAAAATATCCGTATAATCGGTACGTAATTACAATGCGGTAGTGTATCTAATTATTGGATTGGCAATTAAGTGATTGCGGATTTTACCAATACCACCTAATGACAAAATCCGCAATCATTTAGTTGCCAATCGATTACGAAGATGTGGAATTATTTTTGCAGAATCGACTGATTTTCATTCGATAAGTCAAAATGTCGATTATTTTCTATAATATCGGTTTCATCGCGAGCCTTGATTTCGACTGCCAGAACGAGATATTATTTAAAGAATCGCAAGATTGAACGCCGATGTTCTTATTTTTAAGCTCGTTGATTTACAACATATCGTGTAAAGCATACTGTTACGATCAAATTTTGTTCTTTTTTTCTTTAATACGAATTTATTGAAATTACAAATCTGTATGCTTTTTTTATGCATGTGATTAAGCGATTAATGCTGACACAGAGATCTTTGCTTTTTGTGCTTGGTGTGCTTTTTGCTTTGGAAAGGCAATCTACTGATCTCTCATTTTTATTCTTTCTATTCTTTGTGATCTTAATGAACTTCCTTTTCTTTGTTTGGTCGGTTTCATAATTAAAAGATTTTCTTTGAATTAAAGTCTTCGTAGGATTACGCCCAGATTCAAAATACTCTATAACCGTGTATATAACTCGTTAAAGTATAAAATTCCACTGCTTTTGCACTAATTGGCTGTTCGTTCTTTCTTTTTTTTTTCATTTCTGTTGCAGGCGAAGAACGGTTTGGTAGAATATTAAATCCAATCTACATATAACATAGTATATAAGCATGAGAGGTATAAGAATAGGGAGGAGTAGTACTAAGTCATTGACCATTATTTTAGATGCGTATGTGTAAAGAAAAAGTGTGGAAAATCCACTACATAGATACGAAAAAGTCTTACGTGTAATTAGATATGTGCGAGGGCTTTGACGAAATGTTTTTCTTGTGGATTTGAACCGTAAGTTAAAAGTTTTCAATTGGATTACTTAAAAATATGAAAAACAGGCGGAAAAATTTTGTGGAAGTTTTTTTTTTTGGTTAAGATTAGGTTTGGAATGTTTATAAAATTATGGTTTCTGTAAGAACATAGAAAAAACTAAATATAAACTTCGCTATATTACTTCGGAATACAAAGAAACTCAGTTTTTATTCTTCAATAATTTGGTTCGATCTATTTGACGAATGATTTACTTTAAAACGAGAAAAACAAAACGAAAAGAAGAATCACTTAGAAAATGAACAAAGCAGTTTACACGATTTAGTTTTTATAGAAAATATTTAAGAAATCACGATCGTACGATTGTTGTGAATGCTTTTTCTTTAATCGTCACAAATTGAAGCAATACATTTGCCCAAGGGAGAATCGTGTATCTACCTAACGCACGTACTGTAGCAATTGAACTCGTGACGAGACTTCAAGTATGTTTAAGAGCTTCTACGAGGCGACATTACCAGTATACGATCCTCCCAACGTCGTGCTCGCATGTTAAAGATACATTAGTTCAGGTACGAGCAAAATTACCACGCAGCCATAGTTTTAATCGACTTTTCACCGCTACAGGATGTTCCCACTGTCCCGGGGGTTACTGCTGGACTTCGCAGCATTGTCAGAGAACAGAGAGGCTGGATTGTCACGATCAGTGTCTGGGCGAGTGTCACGGTCCAACGGAAAGCGAATGTTACGTATGCAAGCATTATCGGCACGAGGGGAAATGCGTGGAAACCTGCCCTAGTGATCTGTGAGTTATATTCTGCAAGCTTACTTTTCTTCCTCCTTTCTTTATATACTATCTGTTTACAAATATTTTTATCGTTAATTTCACATAGCATAAATTCTTTTACAAATATTTTTATCGTTCATTTCGCATAGCATAAATTTGTTCTCTTGTAATCCGTAATTGTGTATCCGTTAATTTTATTTGTGAATGTAACGTTAAATATTCGTGGAAAATTGGCCGAGCGATTTAAATAATGCTGCGGAAGCTATATTGATTCTTTTATTTATACAGAAATTCTTTCCAAAATTAATTCAATTGATTTTCAGAAGATAAATTCTTCGTTCGGTAGCCGGTAATATTATTTATTTTATTTTTACAAATATATTACTACAACCTCTCTTGTGTAATGTTAATCAACGATTTAAAATAACTATATCTGAAAGTTACTCTCGTTCTTTTGTCTTTTCTTAAATCTTCTTTATTTTCACTTCTTTTTAATCATCGATTTCTCGCAAAAGTCTTATATTTAATATTTAACGATACCTTGTATGATTTGCCCTTTCGAACTTCGAGGGGTTCTGCTGATTACATCCTCGCGTATATCTTACTTTTCTCTGATCGATAGTAAATCTCGCAAAATTCCTGTGAAACTAACTTACAGAATGCACACAATTCCAACTGATTGAATTATTTCTCCGACAATTTGTATGAGTTATCGGATATCGTGCAGGAACAACGTAACACTTATGGATAGGTGTTGGAATAGCTGGAAAAAGTCTTTTCCACTGCAAAGGTGCTGCGTATTTCCATAGTTATGGAAAAAGTTTCTCTTGAAACTCTGAAGCATCCTTCCTTTGGAAAGGAGAGCGGAAGTCGCCGGTCATGCTTTCTATTCTTTCATGAACGTTATGAACACGTATAGTGGGGGGATTGTATCGCAGTGACCTTGAGCTGCTAACTGTTTCCAGCAAGCTATAGCAGCCGGATAAACGCGACACGATCTGTTCCACAGATACTCCTATCTCTCGAGACGCTGCGTCACGAAGGATGAGTGTGTACGAATGAATCGTCTAAGACGAGTATATTATGTCCTGGAAGATGGTCAGGCTTGGAGACCATTCAATGGATCCTGCGTGACTCATTGCCCTGATGGTTACGAGGATGCACTCGACGAGAACAATGTACGTAAAATATTCTCCTTTGTGTTCTCGTCCTTTACTTCGATCCCACCATACGATTAATTATTGTGTACCAACATTGCGATCAGATTGCGAGATCAAGGAAGGAAAACGGGAAGGTAAGGTATAGACCGGTCGCGTTGAACATTCGCTTCATATTTAATTCAACGCACGATGAGAAGAGAGAACGTTCGTTATTGTGGAACGCGCGCGGGTGTTAAAATACTAAATCGCCGATAGAATTATAAAACGATGAGATCTCTTGTTCTACTTGAAGAGATCAAGGGTGATGGTAATTGACAATTGTGGGCTGGCCGAAGATGATAGAGATACCAAGAAACTACGGTGTGATAACGTTCTACCGTCTGATCGAAGATGTGGCTTATGAGATTGTTCGAGTGTGAGTTTTTTTTTTTTTTTTTTATTTATTGTAAGTCAATCGTTCTCTGAACAGCTACAGTGCGGAAATAGAGGCAGATTTTAATTTACAAAGGAAATGTCAATAGGTCTTTGTGAGTTTCGGTCAGCTCGTAGATCGTTGTTAACTTAAGTTAATAGTAATTAAAATAAGAAATCAGTTAGATTCCTATAGCAAGTGTCTTCTACAAATGGTATCGATGTATTTCTGGTAACACATACCATTCATAACACTTGGTTCTAATTACAGATGACCACGTGTCGCGCTTGCGTGAACAGCTGCCGGAAGGTCGGCCACGGCGCTCTGATCCGCCACATCTCCGACGCCCAGAGCTTCCGTGGTATAACCGTAGTGAAAGGCGCGCTGGAGTTCCAAATTCGAAATGGAAATCCGAACATAATGAACGAACTAAGCGACGCATTCGGTCGAGTCGAAGAAATTACCGAGTACGTCAAGATCACACATTCGTTCCCCATTACCTCGTTGAATTTCTTCAAAAAGCTCAAGGTTATCAAGGGTGAGAAACTGGACATTAACAACGCCAGCCTATCCGTCTTGGACAATCCCAATCTGTCCAGCCTGTTCCCACCAGGGCAAGAAATCAGAATCGAAAATGGCCGACTCTTTTTCCATTACAATCCAAAGCTCTGCTTGTCCAAAATCATACAGTTCAGTCAAATGGTGAACATCACGAACTACACCGACCTGGAAATACAGCCGCAATCGAATGGCGAGAAAGTGGCTTGCGATATAGTGAATATAAATATCACGGTTAAAAATCTGGGACCCGATTACGCGGATTTGATGTGGGATAGTTACAAGCCACCGGAAGGGCAGCAGTTGCTCAGTTACCTGTTGAATTATATTGAGACGGAAAATCAGAACATCACGTACGAGATGAACGCTTGCGGGTGGAACAACACCTGGCAGATAGTCGACGTAGATATTCCTAAATGGAACACAACGGTTTCGAAGCATATCAGCAATCTGAAGCCCTACACTATGTACGCGGTATACGTAAAGACGTTCAACGCCAGGACCACCAAGTTCGTGGGACCAGTGGGTCAGTCGAGAATCATCTTCTTCAGGACGAAGAGCACCATTCCATCACCTCCGATGAACGCAGTATCTACTGCCTTGAGCGAGACTGAGATTCTAGTCAAGTGGGAACCGCCACTGTTCCCTAATGGGCCAATAGGATACTACATGGTCTCTAGCGTCATGATCTACGAAGACGAGAATCTAATCTCGTCCAGGGATTATTGCAACGATACGCTAGACAGTGAACTGGAATCCGAGGAAGTGGTGCCGGACGTAACCGTGAAGACGCCAGTGGTAAATCGGGTTTCGTGTTGCTCGAAGAGCACGAGCAGGAATATCGTCACGTCGAAGAAGTTCGAGATTTTCTGCCACGAGAACACGACTATCAGCTACATATCACCCGGCTGGAAGGACTACTGCGTGTACAACTCCTACAACACTGTGGACAATCAGTTCTACGAGCTGGCGAACAATTTGTCCACCCCTCGACCGGAAGAATCCAGCAGATTCGATGCATTCAAGTCCACGGGGAACGTGTTAGACAAGCACGCGGTCACGTACAACGTTAGCGGTCGAAACAATTCGTTCGTGATCAAGAATCTGCGCCATTACTCGCGCTACATCATCAGTATAGCCGCGTGCGGCGTCAAAGTCAACGAGTCGAATATGTGCTCATCGATTCAGTACACGAACACCCGAACGAGGAAGCGGAATCGTGCGGATGACGTGAAGAACGTGAAGGTGCAGGTGACTAACAACACCATCGTTGAGGTTTTTTGGGACCTGGTGAAAGATCCTAACGCCCTCACCGTTTCATACACCATCGAATACACCAACTTGGACGTGAAAGACGCGAAGAAGAGCACCGAGTGCATTCCACGAACTGGACGAAAAGATACCATCAACAGTTACTTGATCAAGAACCTGAGTCCTGGAAAATACAGTTTACGGATGAAGTCCACGTCGTTGGCCGGTGATGGTAACTTCTCGAACGTGGTGTATTTTTCCATAGGTCTGAGCAACACCACGCCCATCACGTTAATAGCGTTGTTCACGTTTGGTGTTCTGTCTATGGTATTCGTCATTTTACTCGTCGTTTTGAGGCATCATCAGAAGAGGAAGAAACAGGAAAGACTGATCGCCAGCGTAAACCCTGATTACATAGAAACAAAGTACGTGATCGACGAGTGGGAGGTACCCAGGGAAAGCGTGGAGATCTTGGAGGAACTTGGTTTGGGCAATTTTGGTATGGTGTATAGAGGAGTGTACGACAAAACTACGCCAGTGGCCATCAAAACGATTTCGAAGACGGCTAGTCAGAGGGAGAAGAACGAGTTCCTAAACGAAGCCTCGGTAATGAAGAACTTCTCGACTTTTCACATAATTAAGCTCATCGGCGTGGTATCCATCGAGAATCCCCCGTTCGTTATCATGGAACTAATGGAGAATGGAGATCTGAAGACCTATCTGCGTCGGATTCGCGATACCCATCTCGTGCCGGATGCCTGCAGAATTATGAGGATGGCGGCTGAGATAGCCGATGGCATGGCTTATTTGGAATCGAAGAAGTACGTTCATCGAGACTTAGCTGCGCGGAATTGCATGGTGTCGAAGAACTTGGTGTGCAAGATCGGTGACTTTGGCATGGCCAGAGACGTTTATGAAACGGACTACTACAAAATCGGTAGGAAAGGCCTTCTTCCGATCAGATGGATGGCACCGGAGAATCTATCAGACGGTGTGTTTACGTCAGATTCTGACGTCTGGTCGTTCGGTGTGGTTCTTTATGAGATTTTAACTCTCGCAGAGATTCCTTACCAAGGTTTCTCTAACGAGGAAGTGCTCAGCCATGTGTTGCACAAAGGGACTCTAAATATTCCACGTAATTGTCCCGAAAATATCCAGAAGATCATGGAGAAGTGTTTCAAGTGGCGACCAAACGACCGTCCCACGTTCATGGAGATCGTGTCAGAGCTGGAGCCGTTTCTTGGCCAAGATTTCTACGAGAAATCGTTCTACCACTCGATGGAAGGTGTGGAGAGCCGAAACTCGGGTATGAAGAAGCCCTATCATCACGCAGCTCCTATCAGATTTCATTGGGGCAACGAGACGGCCAGGTGGGTAAAGGAGTTCGAGGACAACGTGACGCTGTTGGATCAGACGAAAGCCGGCACCAGCAGGGGACGTATTTTTAAGAATGGCTTCCAGCATTTCGGTAATGTAGCCAACATGGAGGACGTACCCCTCGATCGATGAAGTTCTACGGTCAGTCTATAATAGCGAATTTTTCAATGACGTAAGTGTATTCGTCCGGGACAAGTCCCCGGCAAGTCACAAACTCGTTTAGGTACGATGTACAAAGGATACTCAGGGCAATGAAACGTAAACGAGGGCCCAACGAGTTCGGCAGACGGGAATAGGCAAGAATTTTTTTTCTGTCTCTTGCCAGCCTGACAAGTTCAGGACGACACTTGAAAAGATTCGTCTGTCGGTGCTCGTTGATTTCCAATTAGGACCTTAATGGCAACGAGCGACTAAGAATATCTTCACAGCTTTTTGTGCATACGTTCTTCGCTCTAACCGAGCGCTAATAGTATGCATAATGTTTAACTTAACCAAAAGCGTTTGAAGACAGAGTCCAATCAGACGCGATGTTTTTCTTTGATTTCTTTTGTTTTTCTTCTTAGAAAGCGTAACCAAAAGCTCTTAGCTCCTCGGCCATGCAAGCCTACGAACTTTGTTCATTCCTTGAAAGGATTATATTTCGTTTCGTCCTTTCACATGGATATTTCTTTCTGTTTCTCTTCTACTTTTTCTCTCTAGATTAGTAGATAATGTTTTAGGGACACGCGTTTTTTTTTTTTTTTTGTTAACTTGCAGTCTCCTGCCGCTCAAAGAACTGACTAATTATATGTGCTAGATACGAAGTTGCGTAGAGTTCGTAAGCCCAGGTACAATGAATTCTTTGTTGTTTGATACTCGTTGCATTTTCATCAACTCATTGTTCGAAACTGCCCTGTCTAAACTTGCCAAGTTTGGTGCTCGTCCAAGATCAAATTTTTGATTGTGTACATTTTTATAAAGGGAACATTACTGACTGTTAGTTATTAGATCCAGAAAAATAGACGGAAATAAAAGAGACTCAAGAGACTCCGAAGGAAAACATTTTTCTACAGATAACAGTAATTTGATTGTATGCTTCGATGCATAAACGACTGGAAATGCTGAGTAACAATGAATTCACTGTATTCACGCGCAGTTTTTGCGAAGAAGAAAGTGGAAGAAGACACATTCGCGTCGTAGGTACTTTCTTCGTCGACCGTTTCAAAACGACGCGACGACCGATCGAAAGTTCAAAGCTCATCGAATCGCGTTGTCGTGCTCCATTTGCCAAGTGGGACTCGATGTGTCAAGATTTATGGATGCTTATACATATCTATATCAACGTTCTATCAAGAGAGGAAGACTTAGCAATACCATGAATTAAAAAAAAAACTCCCTCTTTTTCACACTGTTGCAATACTCTAAGGTTCCAAAATTAAGCAGAGTTCGTTTCCATTTTTATACGAACGACGTCAGTCAGGTTTTCCGAAAAAAAAGAAAAAAAAACGGTGGACTAAAAATGCTATTCGCGAAACGATCTCTGGATCACCAAGAAAATCTGGCGGTGCAGCCAAACGGTAAAATAATTTGATTAGATATTACATCACCGCGACATATCGAATCCATTGATTTACTTTCTTTCTGACAGCAGAATCGTTGAAGAAATTGCAAAAGTTTGAAACAACATACCATTCGAACTCGTGCTACTGATCTCTTCTATTAAACAAACGAATTTACTTTCACTAAAATCTTATAAAATTTAGGAGGATGTATACATTGATTAATCACTTGCTAAATTCTATACTCGCAATCTGACAACAGAATGTTTCCAAAATTTAAGAAACTCTTACATTTTCCCTTTATTCGATTTATAAAGTCAACTGATGAAAATGCTCGAGCAATTTCCCTATATCCAGTTTTACGTCCATTCTGTGATCTTTTTCTAAATCCTATTCCCTTCCAGAAACTTCCGATTCATTCTGCGATTCGTTCCATCATGAAAGAACGATCGAAAAGAGAGGCAAAGAAGCAGCTGCACGGCGATGCACCGCCACCCCATTTCGTCCACGAATCGATCCCAGACTGTGTTCATAGGACAGAGTCGACCGGAAGCCGACAGAAAGAGAGAGGAGATAGAGATAGAGATTGAATAAAGGGGAGGGGGAAGGGAAGGGAAGGGAGGGGGGTAATTTAGGCGATCGTCGAGCGCTCGAGAATCCATAGACAGACACACTGATCCCCCTCCGCACGTACATAGTACACATATGCATACCAGAGTTCCTTGTTCAGACATACGTATATAGTTTACGCGAGTCGTGCCCGTGTGCGCGTGTACACATATTTTATTCGCGGAGGAAGATAATGGTTATACTTCCGGGGGCACATGCGCGCTAAGCCGCGTTTCCATCGTGCAACGTATACGTTGTTCTAGGTAAAAAAGAAAAGAAAGAAAAAAAAAAAGAAAACACTTGCAATAAGCATGCCAACAATCTTCTTGCAATAAGTACTGAATATAATTAAACGTATAAAGAATAGTTAAGCGTTGTAAGCGTGTATAGCGGCTTCGGTAAATGCCAAGGAAATCTAAGAGACAGAAAAAGAGTATATCTCTATTTTATTGTAATGATATATATATATATATACATACATACATATATATATATATATCATATATATATATATATACGAATATATATGTACACGTAATAGGCACACGTTCGGATAAGTATTTTTTCGGCTGCAGTATATATATATATATATATATTCACTCTTTGACCGATCGACATACACACTCGCAAGGGGAATGAAAGAAAAAGGGGACAGAAAGGTGTACGCGTATCATGGCGCACGAATACATTGGCGCAGGTACAGACAGAAGTTCCAGAGAGGCTTTTATCGACGGACGTTGCGAAAAGTCGTCCACCAGAAAGATTATGTTCTTTCCGGTTATTGAACGATAACAGTCTCCGTTTCCGATTTCTCGCTCTTTCATTATATCGAATGGAGACACGAATTGAGTCGGCCCGAGGTATTAAAATTCGAGTCCATTTCGTGAAAGAGAATTTATGATATGGTTATGTACTGGGTGTTCTTTCTTGTTGAGCTTGATCGTTTCGAATGGTCTGTAGTAGTATTAAATTTGTTTAGTACGCCAAAGTGGTAGTAGTTTCGTACGTATCTTCTTTCTTTTTTTTTTTTTTTTTTTTTCGAACGTCATTTGATTTCCTTTTCTGCTTTTCTGTAGAAGTCGCAGACGCTCGCGAGACATAGGTGATCGATGCAAAATCTCTGACAAAGCCTACACGTTCTCGCACACAGTATTAATGTACACTTACATCGTTGCATCGATTAAGAATGGTAACACGGAGTAATCACGATTTTATCAGCATTGCATAACGCTTAAAGCAATCGAAAGAAACCATAAGTTTTCATTTCTTGAGTATTTTCACTATATAACGATATTCATTGAAATTCTCTCGTATATTTATCATAAAAGTGTATTACGGTGGCGCGAATAATTTTTTAAACGTTCATGCGAATCGATAAAAATTGAACACCTTGTACGTACCGTATCATGCATTGCAACCTTTCGTTTACCTGGATCAACTTCACACGCAGATAAAAGAGTATATATATTATAAATATATCATATGTTATTATTACTATTATTACTATTATTATTATTATTATTATAATTTCTATGTTTATACATATATGTAAATATTTAACTTATTTTTATTTTATATTCGATTCGCGAGCGTAGCTCGTGTCCCGTTATTACTAATTCTAATCGTTTGCTAGCGCACGCATAGAAGTTCCTTTAATTTAGCAATATATGTCGTTCGATTTCGTCAAATATTTACCGTAATGTATCCGTGCTAGCTTTAACATTAACGATAGCGATTTGAAAAACGGAGAATAAGGATGCACATAGTCGGAAGTCTGACCTGCGCGAATACCATGTACCTTCTCGTTCTTTTTCGTTTTCTATTTTAACCCTTAACGGTTGTCATACACGGACGTTCGTTCACCGCAGCACATCTTTCTTTAACTAAAAAGTTCACCAAGTCAAACAAACTGGACTAAACGTATTATTATCGTTCAACGTTAGACGAATAGTTCGCAGCAGTTAGTTCAGTAGTATTATGTATTGCAGCACGATGATATTAAGATAAAGCGGGCTAGAGTGAAATTTCACTCGCCGTAGCCTTCAAAAAGGATAGATAGACATTTAAACCGACGAAGCGGTTTTAAACGGGGAAAATATTTGACAAACGAAAGTGCGTGGTAAATTAATTTTACCATAAACTACCCTACGATTAGCAGTCAGGCAGGTATTACGTAGGATAAAACGTTACTAAAAGAGTAATAACGATATGAGATAGTCGTGTTTTATCGTTGAGATATTCGATCTTCGCGGTTTAATATCTTCGCCAACACAGATATACGAGATTCTAAAAGCATAGAACTTTCTTCGTTTTAAGATTAAACCGTGCAACCGTGTGAATAATCTCTTGAAGGAATAGAGAACAGTCGAATGGAAACAAGCAATCTTACTTACGATTAGTTAGGAAGCATCGCGAACACGTTATGTACCCTAATGGCCGATCACAATGAGTTTGCCCCGTTGTTGCAACCATTTCTAAACTATTCCGTCTTTATCTTCTCGACCTATGTGCATACGGTTCTATCGATACGCTGTTATTTACTGAAAACCGTTCTAATTTGGAAACATTTGAATTAACTAGTTGCGAATTGATTCAGTTGCTTAAATTAAACTAAATTTTCCTTGCGCCAATCTTTGATGAGATTAAGCATCGGATGTTATTAAAACCGCTGACAACTATAATCGACAATTAGAAAAATTTAATTGGATGAAAGAATGAGTTAGAGAACGAAGCAGGATTAAGATGTGTTTGTTAATGAACAAATTTATTTGATTACAGCGATACCGGTGTTCAGATAAGGCAATATTCAGTAAATAACGCGTACAGGAGAATCCTTGAAATCGAGTCCTGAGATGTTCACCATCGCACACGTTGTATATATTATTGTGTAACAAATAGTGATAATAATGTTAACATAACGATTCGTATCCGGATAGAACGATGTAGGAACGATGTTGGCTCGATATTCCTTGAAATTTCGATAATTAGACGAATCATAGACCAATAAATAATAGAGGATAAATGTTTAAATTCGCGGCATTGTATATACTAGGGTGTCCTAAAATATTTGGTCAAATGAAATGGGATTTGAACGAACGACGACGTGTAACGAAAAAATTGATTTTGAAGTTTCGATCGCATGCGATATTGAAAAATATTTTTCATATTATAAAAAAATGTTTTTTCATATCTCCGGGAGATCTTTATCTTTTATTTACTATGAATTTTCACGTTTTTTTAAGAACTAGTAAGGTAGAAAGATTTCAATTTAAAGATTCTAAAATAAATTGGAATATTCTGAGCTTGTCGAACGTTGTCTACGTTGATAAAAAAAAAAAAAAAAAGAGACCAATGCGATCGAAATTGTAGAAATAATATTTTATTCCTCGTTGTTGATCCTCGAATCCATTTTCTCTCATATTTTACTGCATATTTTTCGATGCTACGTTTGAAACGTTAATCCACGTACTAATTCCACTAAATTCTTCAGGAAGAGTCTTTTTCTCTCTTTCTCTCTTTTTCATTGTGTTCCATGATATCGACAATGTGTATAATGATATTAAAAGCGACGAAGAAGAAACTAAAGAAGTAAAAAGAAAAAAAATGTGTAAAAACGAAATTAAAATTTTGCCACTAAAATATGCTAATGAGAAAGAGAGACTGGAAACTGTATAATAATATTCTCGAAAATCAAAATATTCTAATGGGCATTAATCGTGTGTATTTATCGTGAGCCTCGTGTTTGAATAATAAACGACTATTTTTTACGCGTTGCAATAAGTAGAAATTTAAAAATCGTGTAAATAAAAGAGAATAAACGTTTCGAATAACTAGAAGAGGAAGAGAGAGAGAGAGAGAGAAAAACTTGTATCGAATCAACGTTTGTGGAAAGTAAGTAAATAAATGAATAAGAGAAAAATATAGAACCCTTAGGGTGTATATGAACTAAAATTAAAAAATTAATTAAAAGGGAAAGGGAATATCGAAAATCGAATACCGGGCCAACGCATAAAAGACTAAAAAAAAAAAAAAAAGAAAAAAAAAGCAGTGAACTACGTTCTATGTGGGTGATCGATTTTATTAAAGTATTTATTATTGCCGCCTAGTGCCTGAAGGCAGGAAATCGTTTCGCGTGCATTTCCCGATACGTGGAAGCACGTGTTTCCATCAGGAAACGCGCGAGGGGAAGAGTTTTTCGTTGATGCAGGTGATCAGTGCCGTAACTAGAACTAACTTCCTTAACGAGTCGTTAACAGCACTATTACTGAATTGTTGAATCATTAAACGAAGGATCTACGATCTTGATCTATTAAACTCTAGGCAGTGGAACGATTTATAAAAATTACATGAACGCGACTTTAACGAAGGTGAATTAAACTATATTATAATAATAAATACTTCGCAAATGTTTGCTATGCGATTCAAAGATACGAAAAGTATTTCTATGATATTCTTCTATCGATTAATCGTACGGTATTTTTATTGGAACACGAGCGAGTAATTGATTAATTAATTAATAATGCCATTTATATCTAACAATCCTCCTTCAATTTCTTCAAATTTCATTCTTTCAAACGTCGATGAAAAACACATTAGTCAAATTCTTGGCACGTTCTTTCCGTCGTTAAGGAAATGTTAGATTTAAATAGCGTAAATCGTCTGGCACCTCTCGATAGGTTAATCCGAGTCCTTTTCGTTTCGATCTAGTACACACGCCACTTTCTATCTATCAGATATTAGATCACATTCTTTGAAATAGACTGGAAAAACAATCAGGTGCGAAGTAAAGTAGCGAAAGGTAATAAGACTAAATAAAAAAAGAAGAAAAAAAGATGGTAGATAGAGGTTCACAGTGCGGTCCAGTGCCACTGATCGCTTTCACACGACCTATACAACTTTCGATGTACATATTGGATTGGCAACTAAGCGATTGCGGGTTCTGTCAATACCGTCTAATGACAAAATCCGCAATCACTTAGTTGCCAACCCGATATGTCGTGTTTTCTGGCGTTAATTTATCGAATGTTAGAATGTTAGAATGTTAGAATGTTAGAATGTTAGAATGTGGTCCAATCGCGCATTACGTTTGCGATACGCATCTGTATCGGTTCTCGTGTACATAAATAGATTTTCTGGATCTAGATTTAGTAACTATGAACAGGGTGAGCACAAGCCTAGCTTGTCGAGTCTGTCGACGAACGATCAGTCAAGTAAAAGAAATTTCTTAATTCGTTTCGCAGGCAAATATCCTAATTTAGTGAGCAGCACTGAAACGTAGACACACACACGCTACGAAGCGTGCGCGCAGCACCTTAGTTGCCTATATTAAGTAATCATAGACGGTTAATTAGCGTGAGGATGAATTTCCGTGAAGTGTCCCACGGTGAACCAGGTTCAGAAGGCGTCGTTCGACGCTTTAAATCGATAAATTAGTCGTAAAAGAGGCGAAGCAACATCGGGCGTGAGTCGTGCTGGTTGCTCTGATGACTTTCGTTTAAATCTCACCGACTGCACTGCTTCCTGAATGTACAGGGTGTTTAGGAGAAAAGCTCCAAGATTTTTCTCACTCGTATCATTCATTCGGACGAATAATTTGCTAAATTATCTTCGATACGACTTGTTCCTTTGCAAGAAATGTTTATTTTTTTATAGGCAATTGTATACTTCGACAAAATACTCATACGTGTACTATAAATCCACTAAATCCGATCATTGGATATTTACGAACAGTAACGTTAACTCGCTCATCAATCGCGCGAATGTCGCATCGAAGTTAGAGAAAGAAGTTATACTTGGAGATATTACTTGGCAAAGAGAAAAGAAAGTTCCTTGCTTTTCTATCATTTTTTCTGATATTAACGATAATCTATAATTACGATACCATGTTGTTTCCTCTTACGTACTCTTTGTTCCATATACTCGTATTCTCAGATCGTTTCTTTCCTTCTTTGAGTATTATACCGATCAGACGTGTTCTATTCTTCTCGGTGAGTAAAATATTTCGTCGAAATAATTTCATTAATGACATTAACGTCTTGGATCCTTATTTTTCTTTTCCACGCTCTATAGCAACGTATACGGTCTTGTTGATTCAGTATTTTTCTTTTTGCTACTTGGTTTTATAGGGTCGTTTTCCTTTTTCTCTGAACGTGGCGCTTGGCCGTTGTTCATCGAACGAAACTGATTAAACGACAGGCCACTTCGGAATTTGTGATAGTTCTAGTTACGGTACTAGTTGTAAGCGTTCATATAGTATGTATAGGGTGCGCGAATGTACGCACAAGAAAAAATTCGCGCCGCGTCTAGTAGAATTTCAATGGACTGACACCGAAGATTTAGTTTTTAAATTGTATAGGTATATCGCGCCTCAAATATTCCTTCGTTCGAACGACTGGCCTTCGATAGAGAAATATTCGCGGTAATTACGAGTATCGTAAGAACCTTTGCAACCGCCTGTGCATAGTTCCGGCGGTCTTCACTTTCGATGTGTTTTTTTTTCTAAAATTGAAGCGCCACTTCTTCTGAAAAAAGCGTGATCTGGGAATCGGAAGAGGAAATTATGTTTCAGTTCCGAGTGTCAAATAACATTATCTATAGATATAAATCGTTGAATGTTCTTTGGTTTCTTCGAGATTAAGAGCGAGCATAATCGTTAGTTATGTTAGTTAGAGTTTGGATCGAATCCAAAAGCTTTGATCAATTTCTCATTTTCTTGATATCCGTTGAAATGTTAAATGTAAGATAAACGATTATACGTATGGTTTTGTTTAACGCGTAAAATCACCAAGATTGTTCGATCGATCGACGTTCGATTTATGTTTAACCGTAAAAGTAATTTTCTTTTTTTAAGATTCGTTCCAACGCCTTCTTCAGGTTTCGTTAGGTTCTTTTTCAAACATCTTCGTATAAATAGATTCCTAATAAAAAAAATTACGTAAAACGAATACTGCCTAAGCACGATCAAACTATATAAATATACAAGCAAGAAACCATAGAAAATAATTTCTATCGTCTCAAGGTACTAGGAGCAATAAAAAAAGGTACAACGTAAAAATTAACTTAGAGAAGTTTAACGAGATAAGATTCGAAATCCAAGATTCCTGGATCGCGAATAGCCTGCAAGACTAAACTTATTATAATACAGCTTGAACTCGGAAATCAGAAAGAGAAAAGGATAATTGAGAGGCTGTGAAAAGAAAAGTATTATGTACGGTACTATGGAAACTATACTATCTATGTACCGTTTTTCGTAAACGTTTAGACACCAATACGTTACGAATAAATAAGAAAATTTACACCGATAAATATCGTATAATAGTTTAAATATAAACAATTTGATTAGTCCGATCTGAAACTTCTTTTTTTCATTAGTTTATATTTCTTTTTGATAAAATTCACGTTTTTCCATCATCGAATCCCTCAATTATCCTTATGGAAATAATCGATCGAAGGAAAATGTTAACGTTAATTTCCGATCGATTTCCGGCGTATTTTTATGCAGACTGCTCGGATATTTAAGATTCTTCTACTCATCTATCACACGTAACCAAAAGCAACAGGAAACTTCAATTTTCTCGATATACAGAAAAGAAAAAGGGGAAAAAGAACTCGAGGTGCATAGTCCTATATTTTATACAGACCTTGTTACCTTAAGTATATAATATCGATAATAAACAGCATGTATACGCGTATAACGATTCACCGAACTATACTATATCGTATCGTTATACGATAAAAACTATAAAACGTTATAGATATAACGATCTAACGAATACCTATATACGTAATTTCCTTTTCTTCGCCTTTTCTTCTTTTTTCCTTTTAAGGATCGTGTACAATCGGAGCACAGGTGTTCGTTTTTTTTTCTAATTAATTATTCGATATTCGTTTTTTTTTTTTTATTTATGATCGTTAAACATAGAAGTTAAGAAGCTATTCCTCTAGCAACGAATTATTTTGCTCGCTCAGTGGATCATCGAGTTTATTACTCGTTAAATAGGAAATAAGAGCGACATCGTGAAAAGTAAAATATCGCTATGATACAGCATGCTACTTGCGATTTTATCGCGCGTGATTTTTCGTTCACACATTTCTCGAAGCAATAGAAAGCAACGATGGTTGCAAAAATAGTTTCGTATGGAATGCAAGGGATGTTTCTGTCTTCTGCGAAAAAGAGGAATTTGTTTTTCTTTTGGTTTGAAAGTGCGCGTCGAGGCGTGTGCCGTGTTCAGGCAGAAGAATCTCACGAATTGAACAACCCGTTTTCAACTTCGTAGCACTTTCGTTAATTCGTAAGAATTGTCACATATCCGCCACAACGTCAGCCGCCAATTTGTCGTCAATAGTCATCCGAGACATTGACTAGATCGCCCGTGTTAAACTGCATTTAAAAAATGAATATTCATATATATAAATAAATATATTGTTCGTGAAATCCATTCGGAAGATTTTAAATCATTAGTAACTTTGTGCTTCGTACATTTTCACATTGTATAGAACACAGTGAGAAATGTAACTAAATCGATAAGTCTAATGTTTCCGTTCTTTTTTTTTTCTTTTTTTTAATCTAATTTAAAAGAAATTGTTTTAATGAATTTTATTTATTTAAAAAATCACGTTATACGAAATTGAGTCAGAAATTTGTCGAATGACATTTGAACAATTATTCGTGAACGATAAAAGCTTTCCCCGAGGGCGCTTGATCCTTAATTAATAGATAATCATAATTTATTATTTATCCCGTATGGGTGAATCCTCCCAAACGTTCCCCCTCGGTTTTTCGAAAGGTTTCGCGATTCCAGCGTAACCCATTATCCGTCAGAATTGTTGGAAATGTATATTTACGACATGAGATATCGCCTAACTGTGTTGCAATTTTCTCAAATGAAAAAAATAAAATAGAATCGAACGATCGATAGAGGAAAAGTTATATAGAACTGACGGATAATGGGTGAAGATTTCATTGAAATTCTGAGGATAATATCGAAGAGATGAGCCGGAGAACGCGAGGAGAAACCAAAATCCAGACCTTTCCATAAGAAACGTTATTCCTAATCAAAAAATCCTGCCATACCGTGTCTTCCAAGACAGAGATTATTGAATAGCGAATTAGTTTAGTATTTATACACGGTTTTACGCCGCTATCTGTGTTGCGAACTCGCCCAAATCGACTAATTATTATCGATGAATGGATATTATAGAAACTGATCACATTCCGATACATGGGAATAACATTGGAATTATTATTCTAATTTTGATAATATCATTGTACCGAATTTATAAAAAAAATATCTCGTGTCACGACGCTCAAACTTTTACATATATTTCGATCTTCCTCTCGTTTTAATAGAAGATGGGATTTATAACGTTTTAGAAAGATGTTCGACGTAAAATTCAAATGATAAACCGTGCATACCGATAAGAATCTCTTTCATATTTTACTAGAAATTGACTTTTTTTCTTCGAGTGAAATTGTAACAATCACATTGTCGATAATCAATCACGCAAAACTATTGTCTCGCGCGTAGATCATTTAAACGATGAGTTTACTGGATACGAGGAACGTTGTAGGAAAGAAATAACGAATAATAATAATAATAATTATGGGCTAGCAATATTCGATAACGATGAAAAACCGTACCCCTGTAATCCGAAATAAGTTAAGTTGTCGTTTTATCCTGTTAAAGAAGAAAAAGTAGCGAACGTGCGAGCATTGAGATGAATGAAAGAAATAAGTCTGATTGCCTGTGAGGTGAAAGAAGTAACGCGCGAATATTTTACGACGCGGAAAGAAAGAGTCGGCGAACGTCGTTGTCAACTTTCTTACGGCGAAAACGATGATGCACGCGCACGCGTAAAAAGAACATGTTTTTACACTGTGTAAGATACGAGTTTTAACGATTGTGTAAGAAAAAAAGGTTCTATCCGGGGAAAAAATTGGCGGTGGTGTGAAGAAAAAACCAGAGACATCGAAGATAAAATTGTTCTGAAATAATTATGATACGATTAATGAGAACACTGCACCACGATTACTTGCGACACTCGATGTGTATTTAAAAAATAAGTCCTTCTTTTCACGAGTTGTATCGGCTGAGAATCTAATTTGGTACAGAAAAATCAAACACTATATCGTTTGTTGCTATATGTGTTCGAAAGACGGTTATTATTGTTCTTGTGGTCAAGATACGAGAATCTAATATAAAATTGTTTTAAAATGAAAAAGAGATGTATAAGAAATCCGAACGTTTCGTATGATATTCCCTAAAATGCATCACATACATACAAGATCGTGAAATTTCTAATTTTATCGGTAATCTGCCCTTTACTAACTTATTTGCGTACTTTCGTTTCGAGTTTCAACGTGAAACTCGTTCGATTTCTTCGATATCTCCTGTTAATACCCCTTGCCGGACCCGCCACACCTAATCACACAAATGTACATACTTATATTGCACTAATTTTAGTATTGCCGCTGAGTATTATAACTAGTCACATAAGCCAAAAGTTTGTTACTCTCGCAAAGTTTTCTTTTTTCTCAGTTTTGTAATAAAGGAGGATGAGTAAAGTCCTTAAATTGAACTTACGCGTTATTCACAATCCCACCCTTATGTTTCCTATTTCTGAAATTTTTTTTATGTTAAAAAGTACAAAATTTAAGTAGACAGAGTGAAAAATTAACAGTGGAAAGCAAATAGAGTAAATATCAGTTTTAAGTCGTACAAATTTATTTTGAATATAATTTCAAATAAGTAATTATTTAATAGTTAAACGAATAATTTCAAATAAAAACTATCATTAGTTTTACTTTATTTGTTTAACTTTGGATATATCGTGTTATTACATGTCATACGTTAACGGCTAAATTTAACGAGAAGTAAAGTTACAAGTGGCATTCAGACAAATAGGATCTTCAAATTTCCCGCCTATGTTCGACAAGCAAACATGGAAGATAACCATTAAAATCGATTAAATATCTTAATGTATTTCATTCAAATAGATTCTTATCGCTATTTCATAACTTCATATAAGTACTCTTCCATTTACTCAACTTTATTGTCTTTAAATGTCGGAAATTTCAAAACAGTCACTTACCATTTGATGAATAACCTTGATCGTAAATAATTTGAAGTCTGTACTTGACGTCATAAACTTGTGTTACACCCAAATTACGTATAAATGCAACGTACTTTTGTCCTCGAAATTATCGATAATTGGTATAAATAGAAAAATATTTTTAATATATTCGTTACCATAAAATTTTTTCGCGAAATGTTCGTTTTTACTTGATCGTTGACTAGACTTCGACCGCGATTTGACAAGCATTGATATCTCGTAGAATCGTAGAAATATATCACGTTACTTTTAGAGTTTAATGCAAGATGCAACCACAAATGCATCAAGGGAAGAACACTAGCAAAATTTATGGAACGATTGAAATATTTAACGTAAATTTAAAAGATATATTGGAAATTGGAATCGACGAAGACACCACCACAAGCTTCGATCGCGAACCGCGTTTGCAACGATAATCGTTCGAAGGCAGTTCAAATTGTTTCCAACGAAGTCAATTGCATATCATTAAAAAAAAAAAATCAACTTAATTATTAAAAAATTTAATATAGTATTGTATTAAATTATTTTTAATAATTATAAAGCTTGAATTACATCACAAAGATTAATAAAGAATCCAGTTAAAATTAGTCAGTGTAAATATTCTATCTGTGATATTATCGACTTGCGCAGATTTATCGACGGTTGATACAAACTGGTCATACACGAGAACTCAAATGAACGACGATAGATAAATATTACCACCGAATTATTTAATCCACCTGTGTTATCACAGGTATTATCCTCGTCATAGCCATACATATTGAAATATTACAACGAGTTTAACGTTTCAATTGGCTTCCTTCGATAATAAAACTTGTAGAATATCAATATCGATCGAATAATAAAGAAAGATTATAATATCTGTATCTTCTCGTTTTCCATACTAAAGAATATTATATTTAACGCTATGATTCACACATTTCCAAGGCTAATATCAGGATATTAAGGACCTTTTAGAACAATTCTCTAAAGCAAATGGCAACTAAAATTGTTCTCGCGTCTGAATCGGGCTAAAACAACGCTTTAGTGACCTAAAAGCGAAGGTCGTTTCTCATGCAGTTACGCTCGACGTAATTACCTCTTAGGAAACAACACTACGAGCAAAATATTATTACGAAAGGTAAGATTGACGTCTTTGTACGAGCAGCGGGTCTTAAACTGGTAGGTGAGAGAGTTTATAACATATCTAAGAAACATACGATACAAAGTTACATTGTTATTTCAATATAGATTTAATTAATTTTCTTATACAGACAATGCAATCGAAAATATCGGTAGACGTAGTCGACACATTCATTGAAAAAGAACGAAGGATTCGTTGCAAAATCACGTTGCATCGTTTAAAGATCATAGTACCACGCGTTCTTCATCTTTTTCTCTCCTTTCCAGCTCGTCCGCCTATTTCTTCTTTATTCTACTTCCAATTATCGCGTACCTAGTTAACCGAATGGTAATTCGCTCAAACGATCTCTAAATTAAATAGACTTTATTACACTAGGAGAGAAACGTAGAAAGGCACAGTAAGATTCTAATGTTTTGTCGTAAACTTTGGCATTTTACGTAAAGAGTCAATGAATGTTTTGCGTTCAGATTAGATAAAACCGCATGTGTAGTTTTACATTTCTAATCAGTCGCAATTATAATTTTCGTATAACGAAAGGGCCCAACAATATCTGATCGGATTTAAATGACGCGTACTCGTTAAAAATCAGTTCGTATCTGTCGACCACGGTTTGTGTCACGTGCAACGCTCGTTCTACTAATTTAGTTTTAAAATCGAATTTTTCTAGGTACGTATCGCACCAAACAGATTACTAACAGTCACTTTTTATCATCAATAGATTATGGATATGTGTGGAAATTCATATTTCTGAAGCATATTTTTCACTTACTAAATATTATAACGAATATATTCTATTCTGAATATTAACGTAGTTTTGTATATATTACGTCCATTTTATGCATTTTTGCACTTTTATGCATCTTTTAAATGCATAGAAATCTGCAATCCAGTCGTAAGTAAACAGTTTTAAATAATTTCTCAACAATATTTCCTAAGATTTATGCATGTTCGATCAATTTTCAATAATTATTTTTAAACGAAACAAAGAACTACGGCTATCACTGTAGTTTCAACTTTCTGCAATTACAAAAAGGTAATGGCGCAGTATACGACAAGAATATTATTCGTTCTCTTATCGGTGATAATTAACGAGACATCGTTTGCCAGAATTTGCAATTCATCCGGGGAAAATTGTAAGTATATTTCTTTTATAACTTCGAAACTGTTCTTTAAAGCTTAACTGTTCCGATCACTTAGGGCAATCCCGGATTGGTTTACTCGTTTCGCCGATAATTTCGAGATCAAAGATTCGAGAGATAGAGATTTACTGGAATAACGTTAATATCGAGCCCGGAGACAAAATCTCGCTATTCGAGGAAAGCTCTTCGGGAGATCAACGTGAAATTTACACCGTTGTTCCGAATAGTCTCAGTGGTGTCGAGAAAACCGGAGTACTAGCTGAATTCATACCTAGTTCGAACCTTTCTTTCGTGAAAAGGTGTACAAGTTAGTGGTCATAGAATTTTTTAATCAATCTAATCTCGCAAACGGATCGCCATTTAATCAGAAATTTCTATCATTCGTCTGTAATTGATTTCTCATATTTTTCTATAATTATAAATTAACCTGAATTATTTTGTACTTGGAAAAAGGTCTCGCTCTAATTCTGGCGGTATTTTTTTTCAGGGTACAGTGTAAGATGGTGGACAGATAAAGAAATAAAAGATACAAAGTGTCTGGGAACTCAGCCGACATGGATGAAAGAAAGGAAAGATATTCTGGGCCCTTTAAAAATGAAACAGATATTTCTGCCTGGAACTCACGATTCCGCGTCGTACAATGAGAACGACGACAGAGCAAGCATCGTTTCAGACTTTGCTGTGACTCAGGTATAAATGTAATACGGCAGATAGAGAATTGAAATTTGCAATATCTTCGACGTGATTGTCAGCAGAATAAAGTAACAAATTCGTAGGATTTAGATATCCTCGGGCAATTAATACACGGTGTACGATACTTAGACATTAGAGTGGGACGTTATCACGAGACCAACGAGATTTGGTGGACCAATCATGGACCATTTTATCGATCAGTCTCGTTAAAAACTGTCATAGACCAAGTGAAAAAGTTCCTCGACAATACCGAAGAAATCGTGATAATAGATATCCGTGAATTTCCTGTTGGTAATGCGTTTAATTTTAATCTATTTTTATAAACGATAATCTTATTTAGTCTAGTTGCATTTATTTATTTATTTCCATTATTTATTTATGTTCACGAATTTCCCATTTATAGTACTTTAAATCATCGATCCATCGTGACGAAGAATAATTTTATTTTTCATTCTAATCGCCTGTTTCTGGTAAATTCACAGGTTTCAATAACATATCAGATCACCACGCATTGGCCACGTATCTGGAAGATGAATTTCGGGATTATTATTTGCCCAATAATTATGGATGGGGTACCACGTTGAACGAGATCTGGTCTTCTGGAAAACGATTGATAATCGGTTATGAAAACATGAGAATCGTGAACAGTCACTCTAGCATGTGGCCTTATGTGTTACACCAGTGGGGAAACGTTCAAAGCACCGAGCAATTGTTCCGATATTTGGATAAAATTGAGACCAGTGATAGGTAAACTACTTAGAAAATAAAACTAAAATGCGATGGATCTATTTTACATATTACAAACGATATTGACAGAAAATTAACTTGGCAACAATTTGGTTGTAGGAATAGCGCAACAAGACCTCGATCGGCCATGGCAGAGATGACCGCGGATCTTACGTATATTCTTTTCAATGGATTGACAAGTCTACGAGATATGGCGCACAAAGTTAATTTAAATGTAACTAATTGGTATAGCACCGTTTGGCAATACTCGGCCAATATCGTAGCAGTGGATTTTTTAAGAAGCACAGATATTGTCGAAATTGCCATTGAGTCTAATGAAAATCGTCATTTACATTGTAGATATTAGCCATTCTTTGTATAAGTCTAATTCATCGTTAATCCTAGCTCGTACAATACGTTACTGTTTGGAAAGTACTATGCAGGATCATAGAAAATTTTTCTTTAATACGTTCGCTATCATAGCGGATTGGAGTACAAAATGTCCATCACCGATCGTATTTTATTTCCCGCATTTTTCTACAATATTTAATAATATTTTCCTTATAAATAATAACTCTGAGATTTATTTTTGTTTTAATCAGGCACGTCGGTTATACGAATTTCATTTATCTGGCAACTTGTAATTAAATGTAAATTAATTTTAAGCGTCGCACGTGTACGTGCTGGTAGCGAACATATTAAATTCATTCCAATTAAGCAATACTCATCCAGGATATAAACATATTTGTAAATGTTATCCGAGTAATAAAATATACTTTCGAATAAGGTTTTCAGATAGAATATTTTCTAATAGAAATCGTATTTTTCGAGTTATATAATGTGAAAAATGGTGGTGTGTGCAGGCGTGTGCGTATGTGTGTTTAACAGCATCGCTTTAGAAACTTTCTGCACAAGCATTTGTGCACCGTTTTCTGCATGACAATGAGACTTCCGCCGGAAGAACGAATAATACTTTGAACGTAATAAAATCTGTGTCGCATTGCATGTTACGAAATAGGATCTGCCAAACAAGACAGTCTGAAATATGTTTCAAACGGTGCCGGTTGATCAAAGAAAAGATGTTCCTTTCGTCAGTTTTTATTGTTCTTCTTTATTCTATCTGTACATCAAGTGTCACCGATCAGACACAACACGTTTTCAGCGAAACGTATTCGATTAATTTGATTAATTGTCCGAACGATAAAAAGTGTACATTTGTCGAGCATTGTCCCGCTATTCTGAATTTAATGAATCACAATCTACTGCCGATTCATAGGTAAATCGGTGTAATGCTGCTTTATAAGAAATTGCAATATAAACGTATCGATAAGAGACATGATTTAAGCTTTTATTTGAAAAATTAACGTAGATTTCGACAAGCGATTTGTGGTTACGAGAACATAAAACCAAAAGTGTGCTGCGACGTGGATAGCAATATGGTGAACTCATTTTTTACCCAAAAGGATGGTACATCTTTTACGAGATCGAATCTAATTCCAGAATGTGGCAGGAGCTTCGTTCATGGTGATGTTAACTCTATAGGAATGTACCCTTTTGTTGCAAGAATTGGATTTAAAAGTAAGCCAGAAATGAGATATTTATTTATACAAACGGTACATTTATTAATTAATAATAGGTAATTGATGTTTCACAATTTTGTCATAGGTAACACAGGGCAAATAAAGTATCCTTGTAACGGTGTAATTTTGAATCAGCGCACGATATTAACTACTGCCAGTTGCGCACTTGCAAAGTCTAGTATTTATCAATTGTGAGTACTCTCATCTTTTAAGGTAAAACTTCGAACAGATTTTTCGATGTTTTAATAGGGATTCTGTGCTTGTTGGTGAGTTTAATACTGATACTGATCCTGATTGCAATACACAGAAAATTAATATATCGTACGTGATAAAACATCCCAACTATCGATCTGATACTTTTGCGAATAATATAGCGATGTTACGTTTAAAAGAATCAATACAATATACTGGTAATTATTAAAAGATTCTTCGATTTTTTATATGAAAAATATATCGATCAATGTGAGTAAGATTTTTACCTTTGTTTCAATACTAAATAATTAGTAACGGCACAGCCTGTGTGTCTTTTACCAAGAGATGGATATGTAAATGTAGGAATGAATCCTATTCTTGTCGGATGGGGTAAGCTGGCAAGCCAGAAAGGTAACAAGATTACGTACAACTCAATGAAACAGAGTGTATTTGTAAGGAAGTTAAAAATATTGAAATTTTATCGAAGTGAACACTTGTAAGCAACAATTGCTGAAAATGAGAATTGTATCAACTGAAGAATGCATGAATTATTACAACCAAGGATCAACAGTCGAATTGTGCACGATAGGGGATGAAGAGCCATGTTCAGGATACAACGGAAGTCCCCTTTTATTTAAATACGACGATACATATTTCTTGGTAAAACTTTATATATTTAACGTTTCATGAAATTTTACATTTGATTATTTACAATGAAATACATTTATAAAACTACAGTTATATATATATCATTTTTAGTTAGGCATTTTATCGTACGGTTCCGACTGCAGCATGACCAACAACTTCCCCTCAGTCTTCGTGAATATACAGAAATACACAAGATGGATTCTAGAAAATTGTTGATTGTACATTAAGAGGTTAGTAGCTTATTTAATATTGTATATTTTAATAAAACACGTATTACCGCTTTCTTACATATAATTTCTTTGGACAAAATTCTGTTATTTATGCTTGAAAATGTTTAAATATTTTCCACGGGTCATCTCCTTCGCCTCTTCCAATCCCAATTGATACGCCATATCGTGTAACTTTTTCACTTCAGATATTAAACCACCCATTGATAAATTTCCGAGTTCTAAAATAAAAATCATCATATTTTCAGCATAATAAAAGATATTCCGTATGAAATTGTGTTTCTGGATGTAAACTTACGATGTAATTGATTTATATCATCAGGTGTGAGACCAGCAGCCCAAGATGACGGTTCTGTTTGAGGTGAATTTTGCGCTACGAATTCATTTACACCTGGAACTTCATTAATTGTTAATATATATATGATATATCGTAATTCTTGTCCAGAGTAGGCTATAGAATTGTATAGAATATACTTACTTTGCTCAGGCCATAGGTCAGGCGATGCTCTATCTAGTTTCTCTAAACTCATAAGGCTTTCTTCTACACAAATTAGATCTATAAATGAAAAATATGTGAATGTCTAAGAAATTTATTGTTACTTTATTTAAGGGTATGTTAAATATATATATACCTGATTGGTCCGTTGGATCTTCTGTAGTCATTATGTTCATTGGATTCGTGTTACCTAACCTTCGTTCAAATTTAATATCCGAAATGAAAGTGAAAAAGCAAATATTTACAAAGACGTAGGAATGTACTTAATACAAAAAATATGAAAATTAGACAGTTTTCGTTACAATTATTATGAAATAAATACAACATGTACAATATATTATACAATATTTACACGTTATGTAGTTTGAAGAATTGGACCCTGTTTTGCCGCTTCTAATAGTGGCTCCACCGATTGCGTTTCTTGTTGCGCTTTCCTTAATTTTCTGCGTTCTTGACGTTCAATATCACGTTCTACACCTAGTCGAAGCTGTCTTCTGTAAAAGTTATGGAAATATACATTATAAAATATTATTTCAAAGGCTAACGTGCCGCGAAATACAACTTTATCGTGTAACATGGATCGAACGCTCTAATCAAATTAATTTACATTTATGGTACATGGATTAAATATATTTAAGTTGTACTTTTAATTCAGAAAAAAAATAATTAGTTGAAACTCTTTATAACATAAAGATTGAACAGAATGATCGACGTTATTAACTTTAAATAGTTCGGTAACTTTTTATTTGAACTATGGTTTGAAATATTGACTTAAAAAAGACATTTGAAGAAACATATTTTTGCTCTATCTATCGTCACAACACATGTAAAAAGGAAATAAAAATATTTGTATTTTGTATTGTATAGTATATTTGCTGTCAATGTTTAACGATGAGTCCATGTTACACGATGGTAATTTTGTACATAGAATACGTTGCTTACGCATAACCTAACAATATAAGAATACTTTGAATTACCTCTCAGCTTCTTGTTGATAATGTACATAGCCTACCATCCATGCTGTCGTTGCACAACATAATACAAAAGTAGTTTTCGCAGCAAGTGACATAATATCCTTCTCGCTATTTTTTTTTAATATACCTGTGCACTTTTACATCTATAAGCGATTATATCGAAAGTATATTTTTGTTCACATGCGAGAATGCGATATATCGAATGTACGTAACGAATTATCTATTTCGATTCTCGAAAGTACGAACGGTAGTTTCGTGAAAAGTGCATAGTGCAAATTCTCTGTGAAAAATTGTGATAGTCAAGAATAACTTCGAAGCCGGATGCTGTAAAATGTAAGTAAGACGTTCTTTCGATATATTTTTTATTATTTTGTTATAATATTTGTTTTATAAGTTGTTATCGTTACATAAATGATGAAATAGGTTTCGTTGTTCTGAAATTGTATAATTTCGCCATTTTAACGTATCGAAGTAAATTTCAAACATACGAAAAATTAAAACTTCCCTTTCAATTAATATCAATTGAAAGTAGAACGATTGTTATGTTTTTTTAATGAAATGTATAAAAAGATAATTTAATTTAAGGATTTATTATCGACAGGAAAGTCGATTGCTAGACAGGTACCTAATCTTGCCGCGAGAGATCACATCCAGTACGTCGTACGTTTCGAAACGATAAAATATTTATGTTTATGTATAAAACTTATTGTTACAATAATTAATGATACGAAAGAAAGATGCAACGAAAACGGTTATATTAACAACAAGTGTTATAGACAATTCTTATCGATCGGTGACTTAATATTTATAAATTTCTATTCAAATTCCATCAAATCACCTAATTATACTTCTTCATACACAATCCTTTTTTAACAAGAAAGTTATTTCAGACACTTACAACTATAATATCCATAATAGCATTTCAAAATGTTTCACATATACATAATATACAAAAAATTCTCTATGATATGTATTTAAATACTATCAGAAATCGCTGTATTTCAAATGCTATAAATTATAAGACCCAAAATCATATCTGCTGTTTAGTTCAGATACTCGAATCTATCCAGAAAAAGTTATCAATACTATAAATTTCCATCAGAAATGGTTCAAGATCTGTACCAGAGTACATATATTCCATCTTTCTTGGTACATACTCTTGTTACTTGAGAAGGGACGATAATCCTCTCGTGACCACGCAACCATATGAAACGTAATTGGGACCGGAAGGAATCTGATGATGCGGAAGGGTGGAGACGACGACGTAACCGAGATATAGGGTCCGTTCTTATCTACAGAATACAGGCCACGTTTCTCTACCTCTCGGCATTCCACATCTCGTAAGTTATATCACGAGTTCGGAAACACCGTAGGACACTGTATGATGAATCGACCTCGTTGCCCTTTTGTCCGCCCTTCAGATAAATTCCTTATGTCCCTTACACTTTGCTATTTGCATATTCGAAAATTGAATTATGCATCATTCTTGACGACGCAATTCTTTCAGAGTATTGATCATTGGTTATTGCTGCAGCATCGCACTTCTTCCATTCTTTTAGATCTGACGTACTTCTCTATGGTTTTAAAGAATAACTTATATAAAAATAATTTGCAGAATAGAAATCCTAAATGCTGTTATAGGTGTTTTAGGTTAACGTTGAATTAGGGTTGAAGCTAGTGTTGTTGTACGTTGTTGTTAGTGTGTTTAGGACTCTCAGCCCCTTACACATAAAACGCAAAGCTCAAAATATTCGCTTAATTTCGATTCCAACTTCATTATCAACTCCTATGCTCGAATACCAGCAAACTGAAATTTATAACCTTTACAAAAATGCCGAATCACGGAACGAATATCAATTATTGAATATCGTATTGCATCACACGTAGAAATGTTATCAATGTTACCTCCCTCTCCCTCTCTCTCTCTCTCTTTCTCGTGTCCAAATTTTAAATATCAAAGAAGATTTGAAAAAGAAGAGGTCGCCTAGGTGCAGCTAGCGTTCGTAGACTTCCTAAGAAGTTCTTCACCTTAGGAAGGGACGCGTGAGAGAACGGTTTAGGATATAATTATCGAATTCCGTTGGATGGCTGCTGGACACAGGGGCCCCGTGTATCCTTAGTGTGAACTTTACTGAACTTATATAATGCATGCGTAAGGAGAATGGACCACCCATGTAGAGAGGTCTCTCTCGACGCGGCCTCGAGTACCCTTAGGAGTCGCGCGCGGACCAAGTACTCCATCGGAACGAGTAGTCGCTTGGACAGCATACCGGGTAGAATATGACACCAGGTATGAGAACCAGCTTTTTCTAGCAGTCGAATAATATGCATCGTGCATGCTCGATGGATCCAGTGACGATTCGGTTTCCGAATGCCGGGTTACGAGTCTTTTTTGCTTTGGAATACCTAAACATACAGTTGAATATAATGAATTTGATGAATGATGATTTTGACTGATCGAGATTCGCAGAAAATTGCACTTTTCTTTAGTCTTCTTATCTGTCTTGATCGAAGGCTCGTTTTACGTAACATTGGAATTTATTGCAATTTAAATTCATTTGCAAGGAAATGGCAATTGAAGTTTTCTTATCAATATATTTGAAGTTTTCGTTCTTTAGATTCCAAACTATCGAATTAGTCAAGTGCAGTGAATTTGACGATGATTCTGGCCGCTTGGAATTTCTGGTAATTCTGCAATTTCCAAGTAGCAGTGTCCGAAGCTTTTCTTCTTTAGACTTCCTTTCGAAATCGATCAAATTAGTCCGTTGGTTTATATTTCTGGATACTCGAGAGATTTACATAGCGAAATGGAAGTTTTAGTTTCAATTGAAAAGGATGAAGATTATCGTGAATTCATCTTACGCTACAAAGAGTTATGAAATTTCAAAAATAACATATAAGCGATGTTAATGTTCGTTATTGGATAAGATTTGCAAAAGTTGAGACCAAAGTCTACAAAGTAGAAATTTTGTTGTAAGAATTCTTGCAATAAATACTGACAAGAATCAACAGGCATTTCAAGCGTCGACCTAAACAAGATAATCGAAGCGGCTAGGAACGAAGCAACTGGAACCTTGGTATTTTTATATTTAAATCGAATGAAAGAATTCTCAGCTAAAAAGAGTTCATTTGGTAGTTGGGCGTTTATTTTATACGCCCGGGACACATAGTATATCAGATAAATCTGTAGAAAGCGCAGCGGAATGACGAGTCGTGATGCTGTTCCTTCGTGAAGAGCAGTAGAGGCCGAAGATTTCAGGTCAGTCCGTCTCGAGAGCATAATGCATCACAGTACGGGAAAGAGTTGTGTAAACGAACTTTCATGAACTTCCGAAAGTAGTCGCTTTTTTTCTCCTCCCTCCTTTCACCCCCTCCTGCTATACTCCTTTTGCTGTTGATGTTTTCGCTAAGCATTTCTGCACTCTTACCACGGTAGGCTTTGTCTGAAACATATTTTCAAAATTCTTCTCGTTCTTTAAGTCCGCCTGTTATCCCTCATTCGCCAATTTTAATTCTTCGATGACTTATGGTCAAGCTTCGTTGAAATTAGCGTCGAATTCTGTGATTCTATCCTTCGTAGTATCACTAGATACAAATTTCTATTAGGTCACCCGTTTCTTTCGTTTTATAAGGAAATAATGGATGCACTATATTTTTCGTTTTATATTATTTTATCGAATCACGTACGATCCATTTTGTTCTATCGAAACAAAGATCACAACGTTCGACAGATTAGGTTTCAAAAGACGAGTCTGTAAAAGAAAGACACTTCTCGGACAACCTAATACAATCTTAAAATTTTGTTTTTCGTCAACAAATTACGAGTATCTATCTGTATGAAAATATTTTTCTGTCGCCAATTATATAACTTTGTAATTATTTTCTGCTACTGGCGTCCGGATATTCTCGCCAGTGTTAGAATCTTGGTAGTGAGAATAATAAAGAACAACGATGCTGTTGAAAGTCACGTCGTTATTACGCGGCATGCAGATTCGAGAGTGTGTCGATAATAAAAATAGGACTGGAAATTCTTCAAATTTTGTTTTTCGTCAACAGATTGGAAGGATCTATCTGTATGAAAATATTTTTCTCTCGCCAATTATATATAATTTTGTAATTATTTTCTGCTGCTGGCGTCCGGATAGTCTCATCAGTGTTGGAATCTTGATAGTGAGAATAATAAAGAACAACGATGCTGTTGAAAGTCACGTCGTTATTACGCGGCATGCAGATTCGAGCGTGTGTCGATAAATAAAAATAGGACTGAAAATTCTTTAAACTGAGGCTGTGTGTGGTCCGCAAGAGGTGTTAATCGAGAGACTCGCTACTGTCTTGCTTCTAACCGGCCCTTCAATTAGTATACATCTTCTACCTTCTCTACACATGGTACAGGAACTCTCGTGGCCCGGCCGAATTCACTAACCTCTCTGTCTCGAATGAAAGAAAATAAAAAGACGAGAAAGAAGAAGCTGCTGTTCTTGGAATTGCGTCGTTCCATCACAATTTCGATCGATTTTCTCCGTGGAAAGTGGTCAGCGTTGAACACTTTGATAGAAAGAATCGAACGTATAGAATAGAATTACATGTTTGTGGTGGAACTTTTTTGCTCTTTGGATTTCGCTTCAAATTGCTAAGTATTTTAAAGGCAACAATAATAATTCGGTTGTGTTGCGCCGACATAAAACGTAACGTTAGATTTCGTTCGAATTCACCGAGGATCAAAAGTAAATAGAAACAAAGGTAATAATTTGGTAACGTTGAGTGGCCAGTGTGAAACTGGATTTTATTTCAAGTAGAAAAAACTGAGTATTTTAAAGGTAAAAATAATTATTGGATAGGATAGAATTTTTACGGGGTCGTGAAAAGAGCGTTCGAATCATCGAAATGAATTCCCTTTCTCGATATATTTGACAAATTTTCTGTTCGATATGTGTCAGAGTATTGATTCCATAAATAGCGTCACTGTGCAAGGATTTTTATATTTCTCTGCATTTTTTCTTTTTTTTTTTTTTTTCGTATTTAGGTGTCATCCAGAGTCGCATTCCAACAGCAACTTTGACATGAATATTCGATGAGCAATTTAAGTGAACACCGTTGACAATTGGCACTCATTGAACAAGTTGTACGCAGAAACGCGCGTACGTCGCTCATAAATATTAATTTACCGTCTTCTAGTCGATGCTCGTCGTGTGGCCGGGGACAC